CCCCCCCCCCCCCCCCCCCTAGACTTGGATGTCTTGCAATTAGAGCATCACTATAGTGTTCAGGGACACAGGCTCGAACAAGCAACATCTTTGCGACGATACAGGCTGACGAGGCTGCTTGTTCAGCCGTGCTATGATCACGTGTCATTCAAGCTCGACACGAATGCCGTTGCGTTCCTTGCAGTACAGGTGCGTACCCATGAAGAGAAATCTGTAAGCGCTGCAACTTCATTCGACGTCAATTCGTTAATTGTAAATAAACTAACCTGGAGGTTCACGCGATCATAGTTGAGAATCCAGTAGATGATGGGACAACAGATGGAGCATCCGTCCGCAGAGACGAGCGGGAGAACACAGCCTATCAAAGCCTGCGCCTGGTCATCATCACGCTCACCTTACGCGGGTGACTCATCTGTCAGCTCATGATCAATATGCTGATATTAGTTACCTCCACTATCGAGCATATTGCTGTTCACAGTTCACCTCTTTTACATTTGGAGGCTGGACGTGGGTTAAAATTGCAGTGCTCCTGAGATGACGGACCCATTCTTCAAGTTCAGTCAGCAACTGCGTCTTTTTTCACTGCAATTGTAACCCCTTCAAGGATCGGCCATATTTGCTGCTGCTGCCAGGTTGGAGGCTTTGTAAAAGTACATACGGATGGATACTCAGATCTTACCTTGGATCTCACCAATTAGCTGCAAACTTTCACTGCAATTTTAACCCTCTTCCGGGATCGATCGTCATGATTGCTACTGGTGCTAATTTGGAAGCTCTGTAAAAGCACATCCTCTGTGCAGACTTTTGATATAAGCGTTCTTTTTGTAGTTACAATTTTCTCTACAGTAACAATTTACAGCTGTAATTTCTAATGAGGCAATGTGTACTAAGCTGCGCAAGGGGCTAGAATGTTAATATTCTGCCCGGGGAGAGCGTTCCATAGCACGCTGTAATGCCTCTGGCTATAGCGGGCTCAGTTCCTTGTAGTACGTTATCACACCAGGCTGCAGGAAGGAAGCCCATAGGTATGCTGTGTGCGCTGTAAATATAAGCTGTGATGTGCTGGGAAAACATTAGTTAGATTACTTGATAATCTGATAATTCGATGCAATTAATTGCTTAAGTTAAGGGAACATAAAGAATTAAAGTGACTTCTCAATTGGAAATTGTAATTGACTTGGCATTTTAACTTTAACACCGCCGGGCCTATATTTTTTCACTGCAATTTTAACACCCTCCCAGGGCGATGCCTCGCTAAGAGCAAAGCAATCAGCATCACCCAAGCACGCACCCCAAGCAACACCAGGGGGAGGTTAAAAATGCAGTGAAAAATTGTGAAAATGAGCCTCACTTGACTTATATGACCACATCTCACTGTCCCACGCATCTGTTAAGACAATTTGTTATCAGAACAAGATTAGCTTTATTACAGGCGAGCACCCAGGGGAGACAGATTAGCGGCACTGCTATAGCGGGCCTAAGTCCTCTGCAGTGTGTTATTGCACCAGACTGCAGTAAGCCTATATGCTGTATGCTAGGCTGGCAAAATCGCGTGCGATTTCAAATCTTCTTGATAATGCAACAGTTAAATGCAATTAATTGATAGAGTAAGGGAGCATACAGAATTAAAGTGACTTCCGAATTGGAAACTGTAATTGTGACTTGGCATTTTGTAACTTGAAGTTACAAATCTCCATTCCATCGACACAGCCCCCAAGTCCCGACTTCATGGTTTCCACTGCATTTTTAACTCACTCCCAGGGTAACCCCTCGCTAAGAAAAGCAAACAAGCCAACCAGCATTACTGAAGCAAGCTCTACTTCGTCAACCTGAAGTAATGCCAGCGGGAGGTTAAAAATGCAGTGAAATTGAAATGTAAAAGGCCGATATTCATGGTTCAATTGGGTATGGATAGAATCCTTTCGACACCACAACCTAAAGTCAACCCATCCGACTCCAAGAAAAATGCAAAACAATCTACGCAAGATCGGAAATTCAGCCGCTGTCACCTTCAGCGATACTAGTGGTGAATGGAAAGATAAGCCAATTGGTCAATTGACAGCCGGTATATGGTTACGGGGTGGGTTAAAATTGCAGTGAAATGGAGGCCCGGCAGCGAACCATCGAAGGCAACCAAAAATGTAATCTTCCATTGCTGGCAGTCAATTGTAGCATGTCACTATGCCCCGTACCAGTCGACACAAATACATCTTCCGAGTGTTTCTCTTGTACCAGTTCAGTCTGACATCCGAGTACAATTAGCCTCACGGAAAAGCAACCCAGGTAGGTCGGCGGTGACCTTGACCTGTAGCCGGTCGCTCACTCTCGGCCAAAATGAAGAACAGTCGGCCTTCAACCAACAGTCCACCAAGAAAAAAAGCACGTCGAACCGAAACCAGTTCACAATGCGCGACATGTATACGCTTATTCTCTCAATCAAGTCTCCCAAAACTGAACTCCAGAGGACTCGTGTATCACACCCGTGTCCAATGCACATCCTCGTTCAATAAAGGCTGTGAACTGTGCACCATCATTCATGGTCTCGCCGACAAGGAATTTGGGAGCAGATGGACAAGTCACAAGCGAATTACCTTCAAGAACATCAGTCCTGTCAAAAGTGTCATACATGTCCTTCGCGGTACTCTGAAGGGTGAGGAAGGTTATATAAATCTCTACCCTTTTGTAAAGCCAGGTACGACTTTGATGCTTCTCTTCAAAGTAGCGTATGCTAATATTTACAGATGATCCTCTCAGCGCATTCATATCCCGAAGGCCACTACACAAGGACGTAAAAAGCCCGGAAGTCATAAACGCAGCAAAGAAGCTCCTCCACAATTGTCTAACACCAGACGACCCCAGCAAAGGCCACGAAGAATGTCGCTACTCCCGCGACTCAGTGCTCCCAACACGCGTTCTCCGCGTCAGTCCCAACGGTACCATCAAACTACACATCAACGAAAAAGATCTCTGCGGCTCATACATAGCACTGAGCTACTGCTGGGGTCCCAATCCACAACATGGGGGCCTGACAGAACTGAAGCAAACGAACCAGAGTAAACTGATGGAAGAGATCAAGATGGAACATTTGGAACAGACGATTCAGGATGCCGTGGTTGTTACAAGACAGCTTGGTTTTGAGTATCTTTGGGTTGACAGGTTTTGTATCTGTCAGGATGATAGAGAGGATAAGCATCGTGAGTTTGCGAAGATGGCGACGACGTATAAGAATGCTGTTCTCACGCTTGCGGCTGGTACCGCTGAGGCTGCGTCTCAAGGCTTCCTGAATGCTGGACCAGTGGGACAAAGGCCGTTCTTACCGGAGCACAGATTTGAGATTCCTACTGAGGATGGGCAGATGGGTTCTGTTTATCTGTCGGACAGGCCCTACCAACCCAAACATCCTCTTGATACACGAGGTTGGACACTGCAGGAGTTTATGCTCTCTTCGAGAATGCTCATATTCTCGGATTATCAACTCCTCTGGCAATGCAAACAAGTCGATCTTCAAAGCGTTACCGGCGATGAAGCGGGATTGGAGTATCAACAGCATTTGGAGTCTTTACCTTGGGCTGCCTTTGAGGATGAAGGTGGTCCATCGTTCGGAGCACATGATTCCGACAAGCTATACCTCTGGAAGACCATCTTGCGACAGTACACCGAACGGAACCTGTCAAATAATAGTGACAGACTCCCAGCTATTACGGGTATCATAGCTGAGCTACGAAGCGTGTGGAGAGATACAGCCATATACGGCCACTGGAAAGATTGGTTCATCCAGCTGTTAGTATGGTACAAAGAAGAAGACGATAGGGTGGAAGAGCGCTATCTGAAACGAGCGCCCAGCTGGTCCTGGGCATCCGTCGACGGAGCCATTCGCTTCGAAGATCCAATTGAGAGGCAAGACGCAAAGATGGATATCGTTACAGCAGCTCAAGTCACGATGTCCTGTCGAGTTGTGCCTAAAGATAAGTTGGATGATTCGACACGGTGTCAGTATTTCGACCAGACTCGAAAATCTATGGCGGCAGAAGTCAAGGGCAAGACGCTTCAGTATCTCTTTTTAGGAACGATACAGGAATCAGATGAATTTGAGAATGCCTTGGCACTTATTGCGGTCGAAATTACCACGGGGCTGTTTCGACGCGTTGGTTTGGCTGTATTTGAAGACTCATTGGCCTGGGAGGGAATGAAACATCGCAGAATTGAGTTGGAGCCAAAACATAAATAAAACAGCGAATTGGGTCATATATAAATAAGAAAAGATATAAAAGATATGTTTTCTCCTCCAAAAAGAACTCAATAGCCCTTCCTCGCATGGATCTTCTCATGTCTCCGACAATCATTGACTCTAGCAAACGCCTTCCCACAAGTCGAACAAGCAAAAGGCCGATCCCCAAAATGACTCCTCTCATGACTCTTCAAATTAATATTCCTCGTAAAGCTCTTATTGCAGATATTGCACGTAAATTTGCCAGGACTTTGTCTCCGACTTAGAACTTCGAAATGAGGACCGCCTTCAGCCAGGTTCGGGTGATAGATGTTGATGTGGCGATCGCGGTCTTTATTACTCACGAAACCCAGAGGGGCCGAGTTGCAAGAGATTGGACACTGGAATGGTCTTTCATGGCGTTTTTCATGAGTATCGCGGGGGCCTTTCTTTTCGTAGCCGATGTAAAAGAAGCGACACATGGTGCGACGGCATTTGTAGAGGTTGGCGCCGTAGTAGTCTTGAACAAGATCTTCATCGCCTGCTTTCTGGTTTGGTAGGAGTCTTTCCAATTCTGTGCGATTATCCAGTAGAGCTGTTTCGATTTGAGGAATGCCGATGGTATTGCGTGTCGCGTAGTCGCCTCGCTGATGAGTGTAAATGTGGTTCCACAGTAGCAGAAGGTCGTCGTAAAATTCGAGGTGTTGGAACCTTAGGACATTGGCCTTTTCCAGCTCAACATGTGTCGGGTCCGTAATCTCTGATCGATGGGTGTTGACAAAATCTTGAAGAGCCGACGCAAAATCGGTTGTCACTTTGCAAGGGCTTTGGAAGAGTTCATAGCATTCTTTTATGACGGTGTCGATATGGTAAAGCCATTGAGAGCAGGCGTAGTCTTGGAAGGCGAACCAACCAGTTTTGGCATGCTGGCTCCGATCAGTCGACACGTAGTCATTTCCAAAACAGGGTAGTGAAAGATATCTTAGACACGTCGTGGTGAGCTGGCACTGAACCAACTTCTCATGGATGTACTGGTTCTCGATAATATAGCTGTCGCCAATTAGTTGTGGGCTGGGCAGTGAAACCTTGGGGTACCTGCCGTCTCGCGCTTGAGTGAATGAATCGTATATGCTCGCCATCGAGAATATGGACAATGGATCCCAAATAGCGCTCAATATCTTGTCGCAGCATGTTATCCTCAAATTGGACGTTGAGTAAGTCTTGATCAAATGATAGGATTCCCTGCATCTCATGCCACCTGAGTGGTCGCTTTGCACAAACGAGCCATCCAAACAGGGACTTTGATCTCTCCCACTTAGCCGTGCCACCCGGTAGTGCCTGAAGTGTGGTTTTGACGGCCTCAAGGAGCTTCTCGTACCTGAGACAGTTAGTAGGTTACACATAGCGAGTGATGGTAAAACTGACAACTCTTCGAGTTTGTTAGGCAGGATGCCTTGTCTTAGTGCGGTCCGCAAGCCGCCCCTGGTATCTTGCTGCAAAAGAAACTGGATAGCGAGGTGCGCATAGAGGAAAGAGTCTAAAAGGTGTGTTAGTTCGGGTGTGTATACCTTCCAGTCCCCCCAGCCGGCTAGGTACCTTGGCTTTGATTACAGATGAGGTTCTCAACATCTTCTTTGTCAGCATCAGAAAGGCTGAAGCCCCGCCCATGCTCGGAAGCTGAAAACAATGGTAGCTGCTTTTGCACAAAGTCTCTGATATCATCGTGGTTATCTTCCGGCTTCAGCGGGACACTCAAGCACTCATCATCAGGTATGTACTTCCTCGCATCGGAAGTTTCTCTACCGAGGAACATGACTCTCAAATGTCCCAGTTGGACTTGCGTATCATAAACAGAAACCAATTCCTTGAAGAATCGTGCCGTCTGATATATCTCCGCGCTTTCACATTCATCCAATCCATCGATGACTATGTACTGTCTGGGGTTGTATTCGATGAATGTCTTGATGAGCTTTTGCGCAACAGCTGCCTCGACAAGATTTGTGCCGCCGGTATTCGTCTTTTCTTGATGGCAGAGGGGAAGAATGTAGTCATCTGATTCCACCATCTGGAGTAAGATTCCTTTCAAGATATCAACGTAGGTGCGGTGTTCGTTGTGATCCTCTTGACAATAGAAATAGCAAGTCTTGCTGCCATGCGGGACTACTTTTGGATCTTGCAGCTCTTGGACCAACAGAGATGCGAGGACAGATTTGCCTGACAGTACGTTAGTGATTCTGATGGGCTCTCAATAGCGATACCTACCATAACCAACAACACCATGTAACCATATCGCAGAATTTGGAGGCTCATCTTCCTGAATCCAGTCTTTGACAGCACTGTACCTTCTAAAAAGCCAACGTCCGCTTTTAGGGCAAATTGCCATCTCTCTGAATGCACGCTGTAGCCGGCCCATCTTCCCTGAGGCTGATATCCATGTGATGACTTCATATCTTTTCTTGTGAATTCGCTCGCTTTCCTCATTTTCAAAGTTTCGCCATTCTTCCTTCCAGTTGTATGCGTACTGTTCCAAAGCGCGGTCAATTTCCTCGTGATCTGTCTTGTGTGAGTGAGTTTACCATCCAGAGAGGGCCTGCAACGCACCTTGGGAAGTCGCTTGCGCCTTGATGATGTTTCCAGTGGTCCTGAGAGACTCGGATATTCTTCTGAACATGAGAGATGAATCGTCCCAAATAGGTTTTTGGAGACGTTGCCATACTATAACAAAGTTGGTTAGCTTATGCTTCGCCTTGGTAGAATCTACATACACTTTGTACTCATTGAAAAAAGCTTGTAGGCCATGGAGTGGAAGCGTTGTATATCTTGGTAGATATTCACCAGACATCCCGTTGCTTTTGGATATCTCTTGAAGAGCTCTCTGTAACGTGTCAGTTTCACCAACTGGGCACCCAACAACCCATAAACATCCAGCACTCCATCGAAGGCTTTGTCTGTAGAATTCGTTGTCTATTCAATATCAGCTAAGGATCTGGTTGTGTCCAGTAGTTATTCGTACCTTGAGCAAGAATCTAACGGTGCCCCACACATTCGACATAACGCTGCCCGCGCCAGGGAAGTCAAGAAATAGTAGGACTTTCTCAAGTTCGTCCATGCCTTCCAGAAACATTTTTAGCCGATTCATGTTGATCATGTTATGTGTCACAACTCGCGCAGTTTGGATGTCGCGAATTTCTCTACTCATGTCTTCTTTGGTGGTGTCTTGAAATGTTTCTTCGTGATGTTCTTTAAGAGATTGCCTGAAATCCTCGGCCAGAGAATTTAACCGTTCAAGGGTGACATGAGGTAAAACGGCAGGCGCAAACAGATCCATGGTGGCTGAAGTAGAAGGTTCCATTGCAAAAGGCGTGAAGTCAAAACAAAGTTAGCGAATATTGTCGCGACGGTAAAAGATGGAGACAATCAATTGTCTTCGACAAGAATCAACACTCGCACACCAGACTCGAAAAAACAAAAGCTGTCGGATTAGAAAATGAACACGGAATTACGGGGGGCGCAGTAGAGGCAGCCCAACTAAAGTCGCAGTGAAATCAGCCAGGAAAGAGCCTCAATCAGCCTAACCTGCCTTTTTCAACCCACTGTCCAATTGCCAATTAACACGAGCAACTGGGCGAACCATTATGCGCGTATTATACCCTGCCAGGCCTGCCTTGTGGACTCGGCAGGTCTCAGCTGGGGAAGGTGCGACCTATGATTTGATCTTTCACTGACCGATGTAGGGGTGCCATGCAGGAAGGTGACACTGCCACAGCCTGCTTTTGGTGGGCTTTGCGCTTTCTGGGGTCACCCGACTGTCAGCAATCCCATTTCGTCTTGAAGATGAACAATTTTCAATCGACTCGAATTCACCTTCATCTTTATCTTCATATTCAACAAAAGCGTTTCAATTGCGGCAATTGAGCAGTACTCGCGCTTGCAACATGTCGAAATCATTGGAACACCTACTCAATCCCGTCGACGATAAAGAGCGACAAGATGGACCTTCGGCTTCCCTAACCCAGCCCGTGTTGGTAGACCAGCAATCGAATTTTGCCGGCAGCTTGCCTACCAGCATGTACTTCAATTCGAATGAGCCTTTGAACATGGACTTTCAAATGAACTTTTGGAACGACTATACTGGAGAGGCTCCTCGGACTAGCGACTTCCTTGGGCCAAGCTCATCGAATCTCCTCTCGTAAGACCTCCCGTTTTGTTATAGCACATTGACTAACATATAAAGTAACGTCCCAGTGGTATCGCAGCAAAACTACTTCCCGGCCGATTTGATCCCAGACGAGTTCATGAACGTGGACCCACAGCTCGCCATGCTCGATCTAAACGGAGGGTTCAACCTCGACCCTAATCTCAACTTTAGCAACATGCTACCTGTATCGTCAGAACAACAAATGAGCCTGCTACAAGGGAACCCATCCCTAGAGCCATCACAATATCTTGCGTTGCCGGTAGAAAGCACCCAGGGGTCATCGGTGACCCCCGAAGCCGCAGGTTCAAGCCAATCGAGGACTTCAACACCAGTGACAAGTCCAGAAGAAGTCGAAATGGTGGAGGAGGAAGAGGGATTATTTGTAACTGACGAAGAGGATGCCACAGTCCATTATGGCATGGTAAGTGTCTTGGCTTGAGAAATACCAAACTCGTGTTCGGATTCGCGCTGACACCTCGCAGCTTCACAACGTCGAAGTCAAGTTAGTCCCAGATGATATGTCAACGTTCGACGATCGACTCAAGACAGGAGAGGCACCATATCAGTACTTCACACCAGTAGAGTACCAAAAGCAGGTTATGCTTTGCTTCCCAGACGAAGACAAGCATTTTGGCCATCTTTCATCAGCTGCTGGCCAAACCCTTATGCCGTTGATCACTCGACCGCGTGTTAGTGTCGAGCCTCTGGCCTACAAGGTCGACTTGCGTGAGATCATACATCGCGCGAACAAGTCAGCCGACGCACGAGTCAAGGTAGACATCAATATCTATGGGCCACGCTCCATGTCATCCTCCGTCGGCGAAGCTCTTTCTAACGGAAAGTTGTGGCTCCAAAGTTCCTCCCATGGGAGAGAGGGTCTTGAATACGACAACCCGCATTTTCTGAACATTGCTGTCGCGGATGGTGATGACGGGATTATTCAAAACGAAGTCGTCGCAAACAACAACTCCAATAAGAAAAAGACGAGAGAAGAGCAACTTCGAAAGATGGTGGAAGAAGTCTACAAGAAAGTGGAGAATAGCCGAGATTTTCAGTTGGTAGAAGGTGGTGATCGAGTGACACGTCAACTTCTCAGGTGAGTTCTCCAATTTCCTTGGTCGAAGAGTCTCTAACTGACACTACGAAAGACATCAAAAGGAAGCGTTGGGTTTCATGCTAGAAAGAGAGTCCGGCCACATCGATGACAAATACCGACTCTGGAAAGAGGTTGTCCATGATGGCCGAATACAATATCGACACAAAATCACGAAAAGAAGAAGAGACACTAGACCAGAGGAGAAAGGTGGTGGGATCTTGGCCGATGACATGGGAATGGGAAAGTCGTTGTCAATCCTTGCCCTCGTCATGAAAACCCTGGATAATGGACAGGAGTGGGCGAAGGACAAGAATGGCGAGCACAAAGGAAGGAAGACGACCAGATTTTCTAGGTCAACTCTCGTTGTCGTCTCAGCTGCCTGTACGTTTCGTGTATCTCAAGTATCGGATATCATTAACTCTGTGCAGTGCTGGTTGACGAGTGGATGAATGAGGTCAAGAAGTAAGTTTTGTGATTCCAAACCCCCTGGACGTCGCTAATAATACAGACATCTCCAAACAGGACTGAAGCTTGTCAAATATCACGGCGACAAACGACCCAAGGACCTTTCACAGCTTGACGTGATTGAAGATTCAGATATAGTAGTGACGACCTATCATACGCTTACAACCGAATATTTGATGGGCAAAGGCAAGACGTCACCGCTATACAAGCTGGGCTGGTATCGAGTGGTCCTTGACGAGGGTAAGTTGTTCCCTAACACGGTGGAATCAGCGTCTAACTTGATCCAGCACACATCATCCGCCGTCCTTCAACAAAATTCTTCCAAGCTTGCGATTATCTCCACTCCAACTCCCGCTGGTGTCTATCCGGAACACCCATCCAAAACAAACTCGCCGATATAGGATCGCTTTTCCGCTTCATCCGTGCCGAGCCATTCGACAAAGCCTCGGAATTTCGAAAGTGGATCGAAACGCCTTTTGATAACTCCTGCGACGATACGAGCCTGATACGGGATCGTCTGGTCATGCTCCTCGAAGCACTATGTCTGCGTCGCACACGAGAAGTCTTGGACTTACCAAAGACGAGACAAATCACACGTCGTTTGGAATTCACTAAAGCAGAACGAGATCAGTACGAAAAGACTAGAAGTATCATTGTGCGAAACATGGAGCATCGTATGGGAGAGGTGGAGAAGAGCTCCCAATTCGGTACGTTCCAATTGTGGCTTCAGTTGCGTATCGTTTGCAACCATGGAACGTATCAAAAGCTCTTTTCCTGGCATCGGAGAAACCTCTTGGACGAACGAGAGGCTACTATCGGATATTTGTGTCAATATGGCGAAATCACATGTGTTGGTTGCGAGTCACCCATGCCAGTCCTGGGACATGATTGGTCGAAGAACATGTTTAAGGATGAATGTTCCCACGTACTTTGCAGGCAGTGCATAGACGATTCCAATTTTTCGGAGTCATCGGCATCACAGGAACGTTGTCCTGTTTGTGTACGGTGGTACCAGGCGCCTTCTGCTTCAGAGGATGACGAGGATACGTCTAGGAAGAAGCGAAAGAGGACTTCGGCTACCAACGATGACCATGAGCATTACTTCAACGACGAGGGTCACTCGACTAAGATTCGGGCACTTGTCGAGGATGTTCAAAAGGATCTTTGGACGACTAAGAGGTATGGTTTTCTAGACTCCACATGGTTGAACTTTACTGATATGAGCAGCATCATCTTTTCATGCTGGACTAGAACGCTTCATCTTATTGCCCGACATTTGGATAAAGTCAAGATCCCGTATCTTCAACTTGATGGAAACAGTCCACTTCCACAACGACAGAAAACACTGAACGCGTTTGAGAATGGAGAAGAGACACCAGTTCTTATCATGACAACCGGAACAGGAGCGTTTGGGTAAGATGGTCCAGATCACCGATTCCCAATCCAGTTGCTGACAGAATTCTAGATTGAACTTGACATGCGCAAACAGAATTTTCATCGCTGAACTACAATGGAATCCCAGCGTTGAAAGTCAAGCTATCTCCCGAGCGATTCGTCTTGGACAGGAGAACGAAGTTCGGGTTACAAGATACATCACTAAGGACACTGTCGAAGAGGTAAGCTGTCTGGATTTTCTGGGCTATCTGACATGGTTACTGACTTTGTGTAGAACATCAAACAACAGCAAGAGTACAAGAAGCAGATCGCGGCTCTTGGATTTGAGGAGGAGATTTAATAACGGAACGAAGCGATTGATAAAACTGTGCTTTTATATCTTGCAAACTTGATACATGTCTTATAGATATCAGATCAGTCCATTCGTATTATAAGTCCATCTCTTAGATTTATAGCATAAGGTTATTCTTATTGGTTTAGAGTGATTACTCCTCCGCTGGCTTTACGTCTCCTGCAGTTGGACCCTTTGGTGATTCCTCAGCTACATAGGATACCCGCTCTCCTTCTTTCAAGGATTTAAACCCTTGTTTTTGAATTGCTCGGAAATGAACAAACAGATCGTTCCCTCCATCCTCTGGAGTAATAAATCCAAATCCTTTCTCATCATTAAACCACTTAACGGTACCCGTTTGACGATCGCCAGTGTCAGACATAGTAACTGCTCTATCATATTATACTTAGTACGAAAGGCCGAGGGCTATAGGCTGTGTGACTATACATACCGACTTTTAGAACCCTTGCTCAACTCAGTGATATAAAGCAACGTCGTTGCGGGATAGCAGGCTTGGTAGTTGGCACCGGTTAAAACGTCGAGGTATCCGTAGAGATATGAGAGGTAACGATGGAATGATTATGCGGTTTTTACCTTCGCAATGTCATTTTATAGATAGAGATGTGTTGACGATGACGTAAAACTACATATAGCTGTTTGGGTAAGCTCGAGGTAGGATGACGTGTTAACCAGTGTATTAACTTTCCGTATCAGCTAATTATTGAAATCTTCCGTAGTGATGTATGTCTTTAGAGTTCAGCTTAAGGCTGCAGCCCATCAGCATATAGAGATTGAAGGTTTGAGAGGCTACAGTATCGATAGCACGGACCGCATAAGAAGTAATCAATTGGTAGTTAGTAGTTACCTAGATAAACCGACTTGTGAGAGGGCAGTGGTTCAGGGAGATATCTTCTTCTTGATAACTGAGGGGTTGTTGCTGTTTCGTAGTTGGGTTCTGGTACCGCTGAATGCACTATCCCTTTCTCCAATGCGTGCCACATTCATCTTCCTCCTCCCTGTAAGCCACGCTGTCATATATCGAAAGCACAGAGGCACAGCCACGAGAGAACAGCACTAGAAGAGTCTCAGGAATCGCGATATTACACCACGGCATCTTTCTAGCTCCCAGAATCTGGAGGATTTGTAGAGGCTTGTTTTTCCCGAGCTGTTCTTAATGTTATTCCACTTCCCCGAGGACGCCAATGGAAGCGGTTGCCCGTAACATGGAAACCTGTGTCTCAAACCAGCGGCAAACAAGCCACCCATTTTAAGGAACACCACTTTGCACAGTGATTGGTTGGCGATTATCCAACCAGTAGTCCCAACGTCCACCTCCGAACAGTCGGTGAAAAGTGCAGATGCGCAGCCTCTCCGCGAATTGGGCGACTGTGACTCAAACGAATCTTGCAACAGTTGCGTCAGCTCACTGGGGGTGAATGTTCCCAAAGCTGGTCTCCTGCCTGTTCCTGATGGAACAAAGATAGAAGGCCATCCTTGAATTCTGGAGTTGGCACTACAGCAAAATATCACTGCTGGGGATTGTGATGATTGGACGATGAGATCAAGAGGGCTGCACGTCACTGCGCTTCCGCAGCTGATGCACTTATTAGTAGACTGAGAGCCTATGCCAGTCACGCGGGCTGCACAAAAACGTTTCACAACTCAATCTACATGTTTCCCCCGGTTTTGAGATTTCCCAACAAACTTCTGAGTCATACTGATACCCTTACCCTTGCATACTTGCCAGTGGAGGCAGTGTCTTGGTATAGCCCGGTTTATGGAAGTCAGAACAATGTTTTGTCTTGTGCAGATGGTCCGCAGCTGACTGCCGCAGCCAGTAGCGGGGAATATCATCCCGACGGGCCGATCCAGTAGACACACAGTAGTATTCCCGTTTGAGAGAGATGGGCTATAGCACAACGAGTCAAGTAATACGTTGAGATTCCCATTCTAGCATCGGCAAAGTAAGGCTACGTTAAATTACTACCGTTTGAGGTGATAGTGGTTTCTTGTTAAGAAGCCACGGTACGTACCACTCTCTGACCATCAGTGAGTGTCTGGAACCCGTTTGTCAATGTGCAAATGGATTTTACGCAAGGTAGCAAGTCAATTACAATACATATCTCATTACAAAGATCTCCCTAGCACCGGAAGACCTAGGCTGCCTCCCATCCCATGTTATAATTCCCCTTACCCAGGTTGAACTCCGAGTAGACATAGTCCTATCCTTTCCCTGAAACGGTTAATATAACAGCATCTCAACGGCGGCTTAGCTTGTGTAACACACCTTAATTCAATTAAAGTCTCGGTCATTTCCTACTTAGAAGACCTTGTACGTCTCTTTGCCGGCGCTAGCCCATCCATCAACCTTCCACTGGTCAATATGCCTACTTAGGAACCGCAAAGCCTCTCCCAAATACCATGCTGCGATTTAGACAGACCCAGAACTGTAAATTTCGGACTAAGCCCACGTGAACCCGGGTTTGTTAAGACAAGCTTAAAAGTTGCGGGCTCGAGTCGCTATGTAATCACAATCACCCGCTGCTCTTTGCGCTTGCTCATGCGCATTTCTCCAGCACAAGAGCATGCGCAATCTACTCGCGATAAAATTTTGCAACTTCTTTGCGTGTAAAAATGAAGTAGATAAACTGTCGTATGTCTGGCCAGAATGTCCTTTCAGCCCTCTCCTTCAACCTGCTATTTTCATTGCTGTGCCTTCACAAAGCATAGCCGACCACGGACACTACCACTCTCGAACTCGAGCAGATATGTCTGACAATCCTTACATGCATACAGATTGGTTTTCAGGCGTAAGTCTGATATACAATGTCAGCTTGATGCATGGCTGACTATCTTGTAGCAATGCTGTGAATGGTGCCAAACCAACACCTGGGGCTTTGATGAGAATGCATTTCTTAACGCCCAGGAACTCAACTCCATGGACAGCTTGCACCCCTGCCCCTGCCCCTGCCATGCGAGCTTCGGCAGCCATGCTCCTGTACAGCCAGATCAAGGCAACTGGCAAACCAACACTGGGACCACCATGTATCCAGGCACCTTTCAAGCACATCCCAACACGACCCAAGACAACAATCAGGGCGAGCTCGCACATGTTCCCTGTGTTGTCTGTGCTAAGAGAATGGCAAAGTTCAAGCCCGATGGTAAAAAGGCAAAGGAAATGGCAGCTTGTCACTACCAGTCAAGTAGGTCTAGCCGACGTCTCACTATGGCCTACTATGCTAACTAAGATAGACCAAGGAACCAAGGCATGCCGGGGTTGTAGCAAAGGTGGCCGAGGATGCATTTGGGTAAGATCTAACACATTCTCGAATTGACGATAACTAACATAGGATAGATTGAAGAAGAGTCTAGACTTGGGAAACTTGCAATGAAAGTTCACTGGGCGTATCAACGCGTAAAGGACTACGGTGGTCACTACACACGTCAGGATAAGGTGCTTTGCAAATGGTTTTTGGAGGAGCTTGAAAGGAACCCTCCTCCTAAAAACGGGTCGGAGTCGAAGCGTCGTTAGATGCCGAATAACAATATGGCTTCCTTCTGCTCGATTATGAGGATATCCAACTATGCAATACACGTTGTTAGCATTTGAATAGTGTTCGTAAATGCAGCGATGGGACTTTGATCATTTCTCCATTCACTTAGCCAGTCCTTTGTGATTCTTACCGAAAGCTTACATAGTTGAACTTGGGTTGCAAACACATTGTATTTTCTTGTAAGAACTTACTTAATAGGTATTAGGGACTACAAAGCCGTTGCAAATATCTACTAGTGTGTCACTGATGAAGTCTACATAATCTTAGGAACTAAAATCAACAGCTGTATTATGTATGTTTAACTAGATTGGAATACTGAGATTACAGAAACCCGTTTCTTCTATCTACTTATTCAGTACTTTTTGTTTTCAATGCGATTATTATTCTAAATAACTGAAGCTCTACATGTACGGTTGTACCAGATGGTTATCTTATCTTATCTTATCGCATGTCTGACCCATGTGCAGCAAGACCACAGCAGTGTTAAAATTGCAGTGAACCGCACCGTATGCGCAAGATACAACAATGTCATGTCACATCTGATTCAATTCGGAGAAAATCAGAGCTAGGGAAAAGAGGTTATGTGTGTGTCACTTTCCGAATTCAGCCGGGAGTCGATTGCGCATTTACACACGCGCCGTCTCACCCCTCGCCAAAGCTCTCACTTTCACATTGATGTTACACCTCAAGTCCGAAGGCTCGAACTCCCCCCCCCCCCCC